ATGATGCAGAGATTCAGGCGCTCCAGATTGGCCTCGAGATTGCCGCCTCGATCTCCTCTCATGTCTGGATAGAGATGGATGTTGCGGCTGTCATCACACTTTTGACATCTAGCCACCAGGGCCCATGGCAGATCCAGCATCCTCTTATGCATATCAGAGACACCCTCCGCTCGATCCGTTACCAGGTTTCACACATATTCTGGGAGGGGAATCGGCCTGCTGATTTCCTTGCTAGCACGGGGGCTTCTATACCCCAGAAACGCACCCTTCTTCCTGAGAACATTCCCCTCCGGCTTCGGACGCTCATTCGGATGGACCAGTTAGAGCACCCATCATTCAGATTCGGTCGACCGCCACCACCTGCCCCTGACTAGTTTTGACATTTTAGACCCCTTGTATTTTTATTCTTTATTTTTAATTTCTCTGCTTTTGATGTTGCTCTATGTATTTCCGACTTAGATGTAGATCATTGACTTTTTAGCCCTAGCTGGGCCATTATATTCACAGGTCGGGGGTGTAGCCTCAACCCCCCATCCCAATCTGGGATGTTTATTTTTGTTAAAAAAAATATTATAACTTAAAAAAAAAAAGATTAAATAATCATTATGATTTATGGAAGAATATGATTTATAATGTACTAATTCTCGATATCCACTTACGAAACATGCAGCAACTAGCCTTTTTAAGATGCTTCTCAAATATAGGCCTGAAGACAGGGTTCAGAAGAAAGAACGTCTTTTGAAAAGAGCTCAAGCTGAGGCTGAAGGAAAAACTCCAGAACTGAAGAAACCCATTGTGGTTAAGTATGGCCTTAACCATGTAACTTATCTCATCGAGCAGGTTGAGTCTCATATTCCTCATTTAAATTTTAGGCTCGGTTGCTTTAAGTTTTGACAATTTTTTTCTTTTGTAGAACAAAGCTCAGTTGGTGGTTATTGCACATGATGTTGATCCAATTGAGTTGGTTGTCTGGCTTCCAGCTTTGTGCCGGAAGATGGAGATCCCGTACTGTATTGTGAAGGGGAAAGCTATGCTGGGCACTGTAAGCTACTATTCTGTCCTTGGGTTTACAAGTTTTTCTTGTTTGGATTAAGAACAAAATTGCATTAGAGTCCATATGTTTTTAGAAATTTTAAACTCCCAATTAATATTTGTTTTTATTATTCCTTTTATCAGTTCAATTATGCTTTTAATGCTGAAATAACGATGTTCTGCAGATTGTTCACAAGAAGACTGCCTCTGTTTTATGCTTGACCTCGGTTAAGAATGAAGATAAGTTAGAGTTCAGCAAGATTCTGGAGGCCATCAAGGTAAAACATTATATCCTTATGTGTAGGGATATGTTAATCAGAAGATTTGAATGTAACTAATGGTCTGAAAGGGCAACATATCTTAACTTGTTATGCTGTTATTTCAGGCTAATTTCAATGATAAGTACGATGAGTTGCGTAAGAAATGGGGCGGTGGTGTCATGGGATCCAAGTCTCAGGCCAAAACAAAGGCTAAGGAGAGGCTTCTTGCAAAGGAGGCTGCACAGCTATTGACTTGAAGAGACATGTTTTGCTATATTGTCTATTATTAGCTATAAATTCTGATGAGAGAACTTTTAATATGCGCATGTTTTACCCATTTTCATGATAGACATTAATTTTGTTTCAGTTTGACAGTTGCTCTTTTTGTTCTAGTTTTTGGCTTTTTGATTGGAATCCTGCATGAATTTACTCTCCTGTCCTGGTGTGTAGTTGCATTTTTCGGTTGGATATTTGGATAACAGGGGTAATGTGAGCATTTTTCATTTGCTTTTTTACAAGCAAAGGCAAAGTGTTACGAGTCAAAATAGTTATTATTAGTATGTCTCTTACAGAAAATAAATTAAATCATTGTAAAGACGTAAAATACGTAACATAAAATCCTCTTCCCTGATTTGGTCCACAAGTTTTCTATAATTCTATTTCATTGAACTATCGATGAGACATTATGCAATATTTGTCAGATCCCACAATGTCTTATTATTATTATCATTATTAGTCATCTGCAATTCAAAATTCCCTTTCCGAGTTTTTCTGCACCCCTTTTTTTTCTCCTCCTCTCATCTCTCTTAATTTCTGAGCTTCATCCCCTTTCCCCCCATCACTTACACAACCTACCAAAGGGGTTTCTTCCAAACTTTGAAACTGTGTGCGATCACATTCCCTGGCTTCTCCATTGAAGCCGATGATTTGTATTGTGTGATCCGCACCATTATTTATAGATAACAATCAAAATGGGGTCGCTTTTGATGGAACCTCATGACGTGGCCTCGTTCGCCGCCATCTACGAGCCGTCGCTTGATAACACCACCATTTGCCTGAATCTGCTAATGGTCAACTCCAGAGGCATGTTCCTTGGTTCCGACCCTTTTGATTATTCATTTCCTCGTCTCCTTGCCCAGCTTTCCCTCTCCTCCCTCGTCATCCTATTCACTTCCTATTTCCTCAAGCCCCTCGGCCAGCCCTCCATGGTCATACAAATTCTGGTAACACCCCTTAACCACTGCGTTTTTTAATGTTCGTGATATATTGTTCAGATTCTTTTTCTTTTATCCGTAAAAAGTGAAAATGTTTGAATGGACGAGGACGAGTTATGAATTTACATATGTTGTCATGTTTGTGTTATCCTATCCGACTCTGCTCTGAATTTCTTCTTTTTTTTAAAAAAACTTTTAGGGTGGTTTAGTATTAGGGCCATCCTTCCTAGGCCGGGCCGCCCCTTTCACTGCCCTCATTTTCCCCTTGAACGGCTTCATCGTCCTCGACGCCCTTGCCATCTTCGGGGGTATGACCTATTTCTTCCTCATCGGTGTCCAGATCGACGCTTGGGTCCTCAAACGCATCCAAAAGAAGGATATATGCATCGGGATCTCCACCGTTGTCTTTGCCCTGCTCCTCAGCTTCACGGGCGCCTTCTCCATCAGCAAGCTACCTCACGTGACTCCTATCTCCGACTCCCTCTTTATTGTTGCCCTCTCGTCTTCCGTCCTCGGCTTCCCCGTCATAGCCCACTACCTCACCGAACTCCGCATGGTTAACTCGGAGTTTGGCCGCATGGCCCTCTCCGCTTCCATCATTAGCAACCTGTTTGGCTTCTGTGTAATCACCGCCTTCATCCTTACCCAACAGAACCCATACGAGGTCTCGGCCCGCCTTGAGTCAGTCTTGGCTGGCCTGGTTATCACGGCTGCTGTCTTCCTCATCGTCCGACCTGCTGTCCAGTGGGGCCTTAGGCGTAACCCGGACGGTGAGCCCCTCAAACAGGGCTTCGTCTTCATGCTCTTCGTCGGCTTCCTCCTCTCGGGCTTCATCAGCAAGGCCGTCGGGCTTCACATCTTCTTCGGGCCCATGATGTACGGTGTGGCCCTCCCGGCTGGCCCCCCCCTCGGCTCTGCCATGGTGGAGAAGCTCGACCTCGTCACGTCGTGGCTGTTCATGCCGCTCTACTTCGTGAAAAACGGGCTTGTGACCGACGCTTTTTCCGTGGGGCCCGGCAGGTACGCGGTGGTGCAGTCGGTGATACTGCTGGGATGTGCCGGCAAGTTCCTCGGTGCCGTGATTGCTTCTATGTACAACGGAGTCGGGCAGAGAGAAGCCGTCCAAGTCGGGCTTGTGATGAACGTGCAGGGCGTGATGGACCTCGGCTTGTTCAAGATGATGAAGCAGAACCAAGCGGTTCACGAGGACGCGTTTGTAGTACTCTGTGTCTCCATGATAGCCGTGACGGCAATCGTCACACCCATAATCCGGCGACTCCACGACCCTCTTCGGCGACATGTCTTCCACAAGACCAAAACGGTGATGGACTTAAGGCCCGACTCGGACCTCCGGCTTGTGGCTTGCGTGCACGACCAGCAGCACGTCCCCACCACCATCGACCTCATCGAGGCTCTCCACCCGAACAAACGCTCCCCGGTCCATATCTGCCTTGTCCACCTCGTCGAGATGGCGGGCCGGGCCCACCCGATTCTCATCCCCCACAAGCTCAACAAGGCCAGCTCCCGGAAAGCCGGCGCCTCCAAGAGCATCGTCAACGCATTCAAGAACTTCAAGGAGAGGCACGACCGGGTCGTAAGCCTCCACCCTTTCACCGCCATATCATCTTACTCGACCATGCACGACGAGGTTCGTGAAATGGCTACCAACCGACGAGCCTCTCTCATCATCACTCCTTACCACCAGAACCTGGCCACGCCAGGTGTCATCCGTGACTCATCTGAGTCCGGAATAAAGCTTGTCAACGACAACCTACTCGAACTCGCACCTTGCACCGTGGCTGTCGTGGTCGACCGGGCGCCAGCTCTAACATCACAGGTGGACGTCAAGAGAGAGCGCGTTATGTGCCGTGTGGCGGTGTTTTTTATCGGTGGGCCGGATGATAGGGAGGCGCTGGCCATAGGGGCGAGGATGGCGGGAAAGCCGGGAGTCGAGGTGGCGGTCGTTCGTGTCCTGGCAGAGAGTAAGATTGCTGACGAGGATGACGAGTTGAAGTTTGATAACGACGTGTTGAACGACTTTAGGAGCCAGATGGCGGGGAACAGACGGGTGGCTTATTTCGAGGAGGTGGTGAGTGATGGGACAGGGACGGTTGGGGTGATCCAGTCCATAGAGGATCATTATGACATCATCATAGTGGGGCGGACCCACGACACGGGGTCGCCACTATTGATGGGGATTTTGGCATGGGAGGAGGACTCGGAGCTAGGGGCAATTGGGGGCATGTTTGCCCTGTCAGGCTCGAATAGTGGTTCCAAGATACTTGTGGTTCAACAGAAGTGCAGGTTGTCGAGTGGGAAGAAGGCGGGAGATGGGCCAACACTTCCTCTTTAAGAAGTGTGATCGTTGGGGCTGAGGAGTTTCTTTTTTTTTTCGTCATTTGTTATCGAATACTTTTGGTACAGGGAAATTAAAGGCTTGGAGGGTGTCATGGGGATGTACAGGGGAAAGATTAATGTGTATAATGATTGTATGTGTAAAATTTGAGTATATGATACCAGCTTTTCTTGTTTGGTTAAACTAGTAACTACTGCTTCTTGATAACAGTAACTAGTATAAACCAACATTTTGAAGTAATATTTTAGCAGTGATGAATTAAGGAGCAACATCCATGGATTCGATAATATTAAACTGGTGCAGTATTTCATATTCACACATGGCATATGAAACCAGCCATCTATACACACCTTATGCTTCAGTATTTACAAAATCTAGAAGCACGCAGTTTTCTACTCTTTACACATCTATTTACAAATCATAATGTTGCAGTTGTACACAAGCTAAACGTTGCAGCACATTTACAGAATGGGGTGGTTTCTGCTACTAATGGGAGACGTATCAGAAAGAAAATATAGTCTATTTACATTGGTCTTAATCCTATCCACACATTCTCATCTCTTTTCTGGCAGAACAATCTCAAATCTGTCAAGTCTAGAAATACGAAAAAGCTCTAGTCTTGAATAAGCTTCCAAAAAGGAAGCTAATAGTATTCTCCTGCTGGGGTTTCGAGGGAGAATTTGTTGAGTTCCACTTAACTTGCAAAGTACCTTGCCCGATCTGTCTGCAAATCGAGTCAACTATCTTGGGGTCAACTGGGCAGCCAGTTACATCCGTGACGTGAAAAGTGTCCCTTGCTTGCCCGCCCGTTGTCGAGATTTCGGCTCTTTTGATGCACAAACTCTTTTCCCAAATATCCCAGTGATGTCGGACAATAGTCGCACCCTATCCTCTGCACATAGCTCCAATTCCAGACCCTGAAGAAAACGAAGTTGACAATCATAATATAACTACCAGTGGACTTTTCAGTTATCCTTGTCATTTTTACTAGTTATGGTATCTACCAAACAGCCATTGGGTTAAATTAAGACATATTTTACTGAAACTAGACCTTAGTACCTCAGAGGCTCGTCTTTCTATGGCTGCTTCAAGACACTACATCACACGTTCTCGTTCAGCTTTCGAGCTGATAGGAACCCCATCCATATGACGGATATAGTATTCCTATATTGTCCAACGGATAATAGGATACTATTATATTGTCGTCAGATATTAGTCTCTACAATATGCAATGAATCTAAAGGGTGAAATATAATAAGAACCAACCAGAGTTATTACACCTGAATATTTTAATAATTTTGTAATTTGTAAGAATTACAAATTACACCTCAAACTGTAGGAGAATTTTTGTAATTAATTCGAAAAAATATAACAAAGTAGTTCATATCGAGATTCATTCAAAGTGAGATAATTTCTACTTGATAAGCTTCCGTCCTCCCAGTGTGGACCACCCCATGATACACAATATATTGCATGTCAGTCAGAGTGCAGACCGTATCAAATAACAATTTGGGTCAATCTTTCGATCTCAACGTTATTACTGTATAATCTTTTTCCACACAATCTGCCACAACCACATGAGGTCTTGAACTCTTGGCATGAACTTCACCTACCTCTAACCCAGCCGTCTTTTCATAGTCCCTATCGGCAAACATTATCTGGTGCAACCTTCTTTCCCTGTGTGTGACCCCAGGAGGTGAAAGTGTCATTTTCGCCGTATTCAGATCGTTGTTCCCTTTGAGAACATTTCTCAGAAGCTTCTTTATAGTGGCAAGCCGTTTCGGGTCCTCAATTGCACAACCCATGTTATCATCGGTCACGTGAACAACGGCAGCAGCCCTTGTGTTATGGGTCCATATCTCAGCATTTACCACATTACAGTGGAGATCTGCAAGGACTGCACACACACCTCAGATAATAATCCAGGCTTGTCTGTTCCCGTTAGTTCAATACAAGTATGCTCTTTAAAAGGCATTAATCCAACCATTCCATTTAAAGGAGATACCAAATCTTCATCACTTTTAAGTCTCTGCCACAAGGACATGGACACGTTAAAGAAGTTAAAATTTCAGTTCATAAGACAAAACTGCAGTGATATTAGAAGAAGACAATTGCACAGTGGATCATAAATAAACAATTCAATCAAGAAAACCAAGAGAATATGATTCACATTATACCTTTTGAATATAGTTTATGACCTCTTGATCTCTAACTTTTTCTCCATCCCGGTTAATAACATTGAACACTGCACACACACACAAACACAAAGTTAAAATTAACATAATAAGCACCACTGTTCCCCACCCCAAGTGCCCCAACTTGCAAAATCATTTTTTTTTTTTTTTGTGTGTGAGAGTAATATCATACCATCCATGAACCATCCACCATCAGACGAAATGTAAGCTTTCTTAATTACAAGGTTCAGGTCCGTCAGAACTTGGACCACTTGAAGGAGAATTCCATGCTTATTGACACTGTCGACCTACACACACAAAGGTAAAACACTTTTAACAATACAATTTACACAAATGACATCTTATAATCAAAAGAACCTAACTAGTCCTGGCAAAGTAAGACTAAGCTAAAATAGGCTAGAAATATACCTGTATCACAGTTGCATCCTCACAAGAGTCGTTGTCGATTACAACCCTGCATAAGAAGAAATTAGATGAGCTATAGAACAATTTCCACAAAGTGGCAGCCAAAGAAAAAATGATGGTAAAATTTAAAAGAGAAATATTTCAAAAAAATAGGAACCAAAAAATATCTTCAACCTCAATCAACTACAAATTTCAATCAAAACATATCTTTCATAAGCTGTTCTTCGTGAAGCTGAGAACAGCAATTAAAATTCAAGCAACAGAGTTCATGAAACTCGAACACTTCATCCGATCCACGTAATAATCAACAAAAATCACAGTCATAAATAGTCAAAACTAGCAGTTAACAATCAATCATAACAAAGAATAAAAAAAGGGAAAGTAGAAGAGGCGAAAAACGCTCACATGGGCAGATTAATCCTCCTGAGAAGCTTGGCAAACTCATCATCCCTACCATCGAATTTCTCGAACATTTTCGAAAATGAAATTGCCCCCTTTTCTTTTTTCTAGCAGAAGAGAAGGCGGCAGTATATATATAAATTAAATAGTCAATCAGAGAAAAATAGTTGGAGAGAATAGAGGCACGAGAAAAGTTCTCAGAAGAAAAGTTCTCTCCAACATCTCAGGAAGAATACTTTTCACAGAGAGAGAGAGAGTTCTTTACACATATTGTGACGTTTATTTATTATATTTTACTTTAATTAATTAGGCAACGTGGCTTTTGCCTAAAGTTTACAGTTAAATTAATTTATCCTGCCTAGCCTCATTTATAACATAATATGTCTATATATTTAATATTTTATTTTTCTCATATAAGTTTTTTTTTTTTTTTTTTTTTGGTACGAAAGGAAGGAGGCCGAAGCCTAAGTCTCTAGATAGTAACGTAGTTCCGTAGGTAAGCGACGCCAGTGGCATCGTGTGATAACCATGGTTTGACTTCTAAAGATGGAACGAGTAATCTCTGGTAGCCCGCAAGTCCACGAGTGAGCTAAGGTCTGTATTCCATATAATCTGCAGCAAAATTCGTTTCACGATAACAGTGCATAATACCCACTCTTCGGGATGTTCGGAGAGGTGGCATTTGTCGAATTTTAGTTATGTTATTGGAATGCAAAAAAAAAAATCTCGTTGCAACAATTCCCGTATGACCTGTACTACAGCACTGTGCATCCCCCAATTCTCTGTTGGTGAACCTTTCACCATGGTTACGAAACTCTGGTTGTCCACATCAGCAATTACACTCTGATGCCCCAAGTCCCAAGCAAGCTGCAACTCTTGGAAGAGCTCTCATAGCTCCGCCCTTGTTATAGTAGTATACCCAATATTCATGACAGAATCCGCAAGTTAGTGACCACCCTCATTTCGCACCAGTCCCCCTGTCGATGCCATTCCGATTGAAATAACAAATGATCCTATCAGAATTTATTTTGGTGGGTGTTATAACTTTACACGTTGTCTTTGATTCTTATTCAAAGAATTTGAGTTAAATTAGTCCATAAAATTATAACTTCTTATTTTGCGTAATTTTCTACAGATCAATTGAATTGTAAGACTTTTGCATTTATTCACAGTTATTTATAAATACTGTACTGACAATTAAAGTAAATATATTAGGACAAAGTTTATGAATGGTTGCATAAAAAGTCAAGTGTTGGTTCAAAATCTAAACTAATAAAAGTTGGATTTGTTTCAATTATCAAGATTTCTTTTTTTTTTTTTTTTT